TAAGTATTTTTATGAAAGTGTAACTTATATATTTTTATAAATAATTATTTTGCATGAGGACCATCTGGACTAAGTATATATGGACAATATTGAGGGCTTCGTGCTCTTGGCTGAGTCGTGAGATATGGAGCCCTCTCACCTTCCCTCAAGCAGCAAACAGTGTGCCTTGGATCTAGACGTGTATCAGCCTGGGGTCCCAGAGGGTCCAAGATCTGCCACTATTTCTGCAACAGGGTCTCAGCTGAGTCCCTGTCTACAGCATCCTAGAGCTGCCCCATCAGCATGAATGGGGAGTTTTAAGCCTCTGGGAAGAAGTATTCTCATCTCCTGTACTGATCTGCAGCTAATCAGAGTAAAAGGAGGTAAATCAGCCCCTGAGCCCTGGCTCCTGGGGTCACTCTGAAGAAAAGCACCAAAGAGGATTTGCTCTGGACACTCTTAAGCACCAAAAACGCGACATGATTTCGTTTCAAGAGAATGGTCTGCAAGTTCTGCTACAAAGGAACTTCAAGGAAAGCACAACATGAGTGACCCTGAAAGAAGACACTGGCGCTGTCCAAATCATTTGCACATGTGCGCACACAGAAAATAGGAGATCTGGCCAAAAGGCAAGACATGCAGATCGGCACTGATGGTTGCAAGGCAACCCTAATTATTAATATTGCTTAAATGTAAGATTATTGTATAATCTTAGAAGGGGTGTGGTTATGAGGGGGCCTGGCTGTGACCCTGCAATTCTGAATTTGTCACTCTGCTACTGTTCCCAATTATCTCCAGAGCAGAGTTAGGTGAGCAAGATAATTCTAGAGAAGATCTGGCTAGCTCAACATCCTTATGTCAGTTCCCACCCACCACCACTAATCTTCTCAGCACTCTTTGAAGAGAGACTACTTCTGAGGATTCCTGCCAGAAAACTGCAGCAAACTTAAGAGGCTGTTTCACTGTGTCTGCTGTGAGTCACTCGGGTCTCTCTCCAACTGTTCTCTTCAGGGCTATCTTTCTAGAAAAAGAGGAGCTGGAATCCGTGACAAACGCCTCCCTCATTCTCTCTTAGGATGGCAATGGCGCCCACCTGAGAGGTCCTGAGTTCCAATGAGTTCCAGCTCTAAAAAAGCCCTGGTTCTCTTTTGACCATCTCTCTTCCTCCTGAGCATTCTCTCTCTCATCTTCATAGTAACCAGCCCCTCCCTCGGGTTGGACTCTGTCTCCACCACATATGAGATTCACTGTTCAGCCTCTTTAGCACTACAACATGGCTTTGTTGAGGGGCAGCCACCCCATACTAATCATTATTTCAGATGAGGACAGTGTGGACCTGGGACATGCTTCGAAATTCAAGCCAGTGAAGTACTACTTCCCTTTCATTTTTAAAGTATATTTTAAGATACAGTTCATGAAAGATATCAGCCTTTCCCTTCTTTGTTGACTCCCCTTCCCCAGAGATACCAGACAGATGAGCATGTGCCGATCATCCTGTGTGATAAAACAGGCTGTCACCAGCCTATGATACAGATATTTTGGGGCTATTGAAGTAAACTGGCTGCTATTGGTCAAGGCACTGAACAAACAAAGGATCTGAATACAGTTTGCATGAGTGTCCGATACTTATCTCAACATTATGTCACCATATGATGAAACTAAAGGATTTAGACAGTTAACATCTGCTGTGTCTGTTTTGCCAGTGGACTCGGATGTAAAAGTTCCCTATGAGTGTGGCCAGCTAATTTGATTTCCTGGCTTAACATCTTAATGATTCAGCTGGGTATCTTGTTTTAGACTTACATTATTTATATGTATAGGCACAGGATATGCGTATCCATGAACGTGGCTTTCTGCCCCAGGGAAAACATGCGAAATAGAAGATTCTGAGGGGGGCCTCACACCAAGCAATAGAGCTTAGCTATCAGACCAGATGCTGGAAATAACACACAAGGGATTGATCATCATAATCGACATGGGATTTCTACAGCAAGCCCATAACCATTTGAGGGGATATCCCCCAACAGAAAACCAGTAGGTCCCATGAGGAAGGTCCCCCCTGTCATGGCCACAACTGGCAGAAGACCCAGCAGACCAGCCCTGCCATGCACACCATACCACACACTGACCACACCACCTCTTCTTGCCACTAGGCTGGTGTGGGGCAAAGCACATGGTCTCACCATTGTTGAATGAGAGCAACACATCAGCTCTCACATGCACAGTGCTGTCTAACATAAAACTGCAGCTGGGACATTGCATGTTGGATAGTTTTATGATGGGCAGCCACCGTTCATGGAAGCTGACAATTCGCTCCCATTACAAAACACAGACACTGTGTGACTTCACACCCACAGTACTGACATTTCCATCCTGGCCCCAGATGCCGGATGAGCCAGAAAAGGACTGAGGAAGAGACACACAGCATGGCGCAGAGAATCAGCTCCTTTCTGTAATGTAAGCAGGCCTTAATAATATTTATTTTTCAAAAAAAATCTGAACCAGTTTTTAACTTGAAAACCTCAAAGTAGATTTACTTGCCTTTAATAAAAATAAGAATCAGGTTGGTTTCCACCAAAAGAGCAAAACCTCCATTGTGTTATTGAGCATATATATAGCAGAGCAGTACAAATTTTAAAAGCAAATGAAACCTCTTAGCAACGGAGGAGTCACAATCCAGATTATCATTAGTGTTTTGAATTTTCAAAAAATACTACTGAAAGCTTTTAAAAACTATAACCTTATATAGTTATTTAATCACGAACATCTACTTTAGTGACACAGAGGAATAAAGAAAAAGCTAAACAAGATATAAATTCAGTGGAGAGTCTTGTTCATTTTGTTTTATTCCATCTGTTACAGTAGCTGCACTTGTGTTTGGGTGATAAACTAAGGAAATATTGTGTGTGGCATGATATTGGGAGAAAAAATCATGGGTGGGGATAACTTAATAGTATAGAAGAAATTAGCATATTGACAGTTACCGGTAATTTAACAGGAATTTTACCTGAGTAATGAATCTTTGAGAAACTGATCCAGGGCTGATCTTCCTATTTGACAATAATAGTCATTGTAAACCTATAAAATGTCTCCAACTGCCCAACACTTTACCTGTAACAGTGACCACCAAAATGCCATTGGGAATCTTAAAAGCAACAGAGCATGAGGGAAAGAGCATTCTCTTGCTGGTCCTCAGCAATTGCTAATCCAGAGAGAGAGAGGAGGGGGAAGAGAAGGTGTCCTGGATTGAGAAATGAACTCTGAGAAACAGAGAAGGCTGCGGACGGCTCTGTGTGTTGTCATCTCAGGATGTTATGTGCTGTACCCACTCCCCCTTTGTAAAAGGGGTAAATGTCTTCTGAGCTTCAAAAAACAAACAGAAAGCAAGCCCATATCGCCCATGCTACCCCTAGCATGTATTAGCTCTAAACCTCCCTCAAGTTTACCAGTGCGTCATTCGTGAGCATACAGGGAATGGCACTCACAGCCAGAACATCAGAAATAGAGCAAATAGTGTATTAAGATTGTCACAAGAGCGCCTGGACTAAAATTGTCTATCAAAAACTTCACTCTTGTGGTTTATCACCACAACAGCTACTCACTCTGGGTTTTAGTAAAGCAAACAGCTTGATTTGTCAGCCCCTAAATGATATTGAGCGTCAGAACAACTTGGCCACAATAAGGAAATTTTGCCCATGGCATGACTATTTTCCACCTTCCCATTTTGACTCTCTGGCACCTTATCTGCATAACCTGGCAATTCTAAAACATAGGCACACTTCTACTCTTGCAAGATTGAATGTACTGCCTTCAGCAGCACTCAAGAGATGATTCCAACAGATTCCACAAGAAAAACACTTATGTCCGTGTGGAGATGGCAGTGCCGAATTGGTGGCGCATGCCCTTCTGGCTTGCCCTCTTTATAAAGACTTGAGGAATGAGATTATCACCCCTCTTTTATTGTCCATTCCGGATACAGTGTCCCTTCTCTTGGCAGATCAAGATGAGCAGGTTGCAAAGTTTTTAACTGGGGCAATCAGAATAAGATCCACCATTTGACTACTGATTCAAAACCCTAAAATGTATTTTATATAATTGACTTTTTATTTCTAGTCTTTGTATATCATATTGTTGTTTTATTGCTATGTTTTATTCATTTAGAGCAAATAGTGAGGCACTCTACCTGAGGCAGAAGATTTTGGGGGAACCATTTAAGCCGTAGCCATCCGGCGGGTGTTCCAAGGGTGTGACAATGCCGGCACAGTATAAACACACCAGCAGAGCCAGTCTAGTTCTCTCTCCTGTGCATTTGCACCACAATGACCTGGCTGCCACCCCACCCCTCCCCCTCTCTGTAAGTCACAGAGATACCAGAAACATTTTGAACTGTGCTCTCCTCTATCAACTGCCCCAGATGTCTCTTGACGTCCTGAAAAAAAGAAGCATGCTTGGAAACTTACGGCAGTTGTGGTTGTTTTTGTGGTGGTTGAAGGCCTGGTTGTTCTCCAGGGAACCACATGCAGTATTACAGTTGCTGTTGTGGACAAGCGGTGAGCTAAACTGCCATGCAGTTCATCAGCCACTTCTATCAGTAGCTGAAATGTGGTGGGATCCTGAATTCCTCGAAACACATCATACTGGAAGTTCTGTGTCGTCATCAAAGAAGGTAAGTCAGAGCCTAATCTCTGAAGTTTGAACCGAGAATGGATATTGCCTAGAAAGAATGGGGTTTGAAGTACCATAAAAATAAAAATGGCATCCTATTACAATTCATATCTAGCTCTCCAGCTTTCAGAATCTTGCACTTCAGGTGAATATGGCATCTCTTAATAAATGTTTGAATTGTGCTGGGATGAAGCAAAGAGCCTCTTAGGCACTGGTACAAGAGAACAGCAGCTTTTCTTCCCTTAAAGAAACGAAGGAAGCAAAAGAGATTGCAGTTTAGAGCAGGTTCCTTTCCCAACGCCAGGCCACTGTTCAGAGAAGAGAGGTGTCTCCCTCAAAGCACAGAAGGTGCATATTCATATATAGCTGAGTTGGTTAGAGTGTGGTACTGATAATGCCAAGGTTGCAGGTTCGATTCCGCAAATGGGATGGATGCATATTCCTGCAGTGCAGGGGGTTGGATTAGATGTCCCTCAGGGACCTTTCCAATTCTATGATTCTGTGATTTAAGGCCGGATGTGAGGAGCCTGAGGCCCTTCACATGCTGAGGGACTTCAATTCCCCTCAGCCCCACCCAGCATGGCCAACAGTCTGGGATGATGGGACTTGTAGTCCAGGAACATCTAGAGGGTTCCCTATCCTTGATTTCAACAAAACACTCTTGGTGTGTGCTCCTTAGCAACTGACCTACTCCAAGTTGACATATTTCTATGGTTAGAACAATCTCTGGCTTGCTAATATTGTCATAAGGTGTGTGTGTTTTAGGTCCTAATTTCTGGGCAGCTCCCAAATGGCTCACCTTTGAAGGGGAATAGACTTGAAGGTGCTTCACCAATTCTATTCACACAAAAAGAAAGAATGAAAACTAATGAATGGTCATTACAAAAACTAAGCTATATATAGTCTTACCTCCCACAATAGTGTAGCTGAGCTGATGAGGGGGAGAATCTTTGTCTGAGCAATTCAACTGCAAGATGGGTGTTTTAATAGTAGAGTATATAGGTTTGCTATAATAGGGTGGCCTACAGACCGGAGGTTCATCGTTCACATTCTGCAAAAGAAGAAAATAGCAGGTCGCTTGAAAACCCTCTGACAAAAAGTGAGGAACAAGAACATTCTAGCAGGGAGAGCCGCAAGCTCCCAGCATTTTCCTACAATCATTACACAGCAACTTCACAAGTCAGTTTCTGCAGACACTGACACATTAAGCCTGATGGTGGCAGAAGCACTTTTCTGATTATTCAGATTATTCCTAGCCTTCTTCGGAAAATTGCAATGTACATATGCACAAAGAATAAAAGTTTGTGTCTTGGGCAACAGGTTTACAGAGTCAATAAACACACAATTATTCAAACTGAACATGCATTACTATATTACAAAATTTTAGTTCCATACTATTGGAAAGCCGATTTGAAGTTCCCTTGTCACACCTCAGAGCAACCTCTGTTGTTGAAAGCCTTCTCTCAAAAAACCATGTGACTCTCCTTTCCCAGGTCCTAGGTATACTGTAAGCCAGGTGTGTAATAAAAACATGATGGCCTGCAAAGCAGCACGAGCAGAAGGCAATTTGGAGTGGGGAAGCTGTGGAGAAGTCCCAGTCACCCCCTCCCCACACTGCTTTGCAACAAAGAAACAGGGTATCAAGCTTTTAAGAGATATATTGCCATGCAAGTGTGGTTAGATCTGAATGCTACTGCAGGACATCAGCAGTAGCAAGAGATGAGGGGCACAGATGTTTATGGTCTATGCTATGTGCCTTTAAGTGCTGCTGAGGCATTGCTTTTTTGTAATTAGCTGCAAGTGGGATTGAAGTGGAGGTTCTGCATCTTTATTTATTTAAAGCATTTTGACCCTGGTCTTCAGACACAAATGGCTCTCAGTCCCTGCCCTCTAAAAGGCATGACACAAAAGGAAGGAGGATAGCAAACTCAGGCACTACACCTGTTGAACAGCAGCTGAAGAATTAGTGATGAATAGACTCTTAACAGTCCCTGACTGTTTCTGTGGGGGGGGGGGGCGTGGCGTTAATCACTAGTTTCCTTGCATTGTTCCCCCCCCATTGCTATATCCAAATTTATTCATTTAAATGTTAAATCGGGTCCTCCCTTAAAGAGGGCACGTAGTGCGGTGAGCCCTGGAAAACCGACACCCTGTGTTGTGGGTGGGTACGATTGGTCAGCCACAACACCCGATTGGTAGGTCCCTTGAAGCTGGGTGCAATCTGGCCAATGGGACACAGTCCAAATGGTTTGAGGGACCTATTTATGCCCATGCACATGACCCAGAGCTTCCTCTTTTGGTGCGTGCATTCAGAACACCCGCCCACCTCTCCCCACTTTTAGGGCTTTGCACTTGACCTTGCTATGCCGTCGTGTGTCATCTGTCATTGGGACAGTGGCACAGCAGGAATTTTCCACACTTGGCTGATTGGCTGTTGCCATTTGGGTTTCACCTACCACGTAGCAAATCGTCACAACTTGTAAGGTTGCGGATAGGCTCTGGTTCAGGTGATAGGGATGGGGGAACACTCTTGCCAACATTAGGAAGAACTTCCTGACAGTAAGAGCTGTTCGACAGTGGAATTTGCTGCCAAGGAGTGTGGTGGAGTCTCCTTCTTTGGAGGTCTTTAAGCAGAGGCTTGACAACCATATGTCAGGAGTGCTCTGATGGTGTTTCCTGCTTGGCAGGGGGTTGGACTCGATGGCCCTTGTGGTATCTTCCAACTCTATGATTCTATGATTCTATGATTCTATGATCCCTATGTGAAGGGTATTCTGTTAAAGGAATCCAGGGACTCGATTGTTTGGTCAACCCCTGAGAGAGGGTTGTGCCTGTGCCTGAGTCCAGGGAGACATTTGGGTGGCAGAGTTAGCCCGTTCCTGGCTTTCTGCTACCCAGGTGTTCACCCTTGGCTGACCTATGCTGGAACCCTGGGTCAGCGCTACCTGCAAGGCAGGGAGCTAGTTGAAGAAGAGCCTATGCAACCAGTCACTTTCTGTAATCAATAAAGTTGTGGCCTAAATTCTGCCAAAAACCAAAGACAAAATTTGAGTCAAGTGTGAATTTATTTGGGGGGAGGTTTCTGGGTCTGAAAATGCAAATAGTTTCTATCCCACATGGGCCCCCCAGTGATGACTGTTTTGCTACTTAAAATGAGAAGGAAGGAAAAAAGAGGACGAGCGATCCTCTGCTAGCATGGAGAAAGTACGCACAGCTTTTAGAAGTGCAAGTTTACCAGTTGCCTATGGAATTTCTTGCTTTACTCTTCTAAAGTGAGACAGCCAACACAACACCGGCTCTGTTTTCTGACAGAAAAACCATGCAGTGCTTTATGGATATAGCATTTTATGCCGCCACTCAGGGCTCAGCTGCAAATCTTATCAATCAGCATGAAGAAAACATGGCTTCTTTTATTGTCTGCTCTCAATTAAAGGAAAATCAATCAATCAGACAGGCTTTGCTCAACATTACATTACAAACAGAAATGGCCCAGACTGTTTATCTTACTAAATGCTCCATTAAATTATTTGATAAGGTATGTAAAGCTGCTGTACACTTCCCCCGAGAGTTATTTTCTTGGGTACAAAATAAGATACCACCAATCCATATTTATTAAGTGGATTGACACAGCTCATAGAAAAGCAGGTGAACCATGAAGCCTTATTAGCTGCAGCAAACATGGTTTATTAGTGAACAAGACACAGAACTGAATGTATGACACACAAAAGGGCAGGGCTTTAGCGACCTCTTCATCATGTAGTGCCCTAGAGAAAAGGCTCCAAATCCAGAACATGGTAGCAGAATTGGGGCCTGGACCCTCTGGGCTTCCATTTCAGACCTGGACATAATGAAATCATCCAGATCTAAAAGAGGTCCAGTATGTTTGGAGGATTGCTACCCCCTGGCATGAGCTGATAATGTCACTAACATGCGTCAAGACCTGCAGCCTTAAGAACAGACTGAACAACAGGGATGAGGATATGATCTCCTTTGCTTAGGTTATCACCTGCTCTCAGCATCACGGAAAATGTAGCTCCTGTTTAAAACACTTGCTTAAATCATATGTTTACCCAAGATTTCCTGGACCTTTTTCATGTTTTGTACACTGCTCAGATGAGGTTGTTGAATTTTCATTGGCTTTATGCAAGTTGATTAAAGATTTTTAAATGAGAATAAGCATAATTCAAGGGTTTAGCACAGGGATGGGAAGGTAAATATGTATCTTTCTGTCCTCTGTTCCACTCCGTCTTGCTCCATTACACGATACAGGGGGATGGAGATTTCCCAACCACTTAGGGCCCTCCCTGCAACGCCTGACAGGCCTCTAACTTGTATTTATAGTTAATTTGAGACTTGGTGCCTGAATTACAAACTGGAACCATAATTTTAAACCCACACATTTGTACCTGATCATTTCATTCATGTTTTGTTGATAGAAGTTTTATTGCTAAGCCTCCATTCATCAAAAGAAGTCTGATATCCATTTACATAGCTTCTATAAGGAAGGCCAGAGTCTCAGAAGGTCTTTGCTCCCACTCAAAGCATTTTAATAATACTCTCTGATTTTCAAGCCTCCCATGATATGATATAAGACTTTTTGCAGTGTTATTAGCTTGGAGCTAAATTTACATCAAAGCACTATTGCTAAATGCCCACACTGGAAGGATCCACCTGAAATGTTGCTTCTATTACTGCCTTTATCTACATTGCCGTTATTTGTATTTTCATATTCACTTATGTCTGCATCTTCTTGGAAAAGTGGAGTTGCCCAAATGGAAATGAATTGTGGAGGAGCCTAATAGTTTGTATTGTGTTTGCTATTTCAAGCCTTCATTTCAGGAACAAAAGTGGATGATTTAGGAAGTGGAGTTTTTGGAAAGTTTTAGGAATCACATGTTTGTTGCGGAAGGTGGAAGTTGGCAGGAGGCCTTGGAGAGCTGGCTGGGAGAAAGTGTGAACAAGAGGACATGGCAAGGAGACCCACCACAGCAGGAACCACCACCACCGCTCTCCAGGTGTTCTCAACTGTACTTCTGCTGTAGTGGGAAATCATAATTCTCCATAGTCAATAGCGGTTTGCAAAGTGATGGGAACCACTGTTGGTGATCCATATGGAGACAATTTGGGACTTCTAGATTCCACAACGCAGCCCTCGAGTTTAAGGAACTCATTATCACCCCCGTGTCCAAAAAACGTGAGATGTGTCCCTCTGCATCACTCAGTTCTCAGAGGTCACTCAGAGGTCACTTGGGACATGACACAATGAGAACGAGGCTGCAATACGAAAGGTACATTGTCTCCAATCCAGATAGCGTATGTTTAACTCTTTTCTGCTGTTCTATAATGTAATCATGATTACTTGAGTGAAAGTAGTTATTTGCTGATTGACTTTACTAGAAGTGTTTCAGAGCATTCATTTGCAGTGCTAAA